GCTAGAAATCAGGACATTCATGTGCACACAGGGGTACGTGTCTCTGTGCCGAGCAGGGATCTCATAAATCCACGCAGCAGCCAATTGGCCGGGTTTGCAGACCGTGAGGGACGTGCAGCTCCTCCCGAGGAAAGAGGCTTGCTTATCTTACCTCCACACCTGTTCTCCTGTGCGAATCTGTCTTTAAGCCACACACAGCACCATGTGCCAGGCACTGTGCTGAGCCCTGCCGGGCATCTCTTCGCTGTCCTCTCACAAGGCTGCCTAAACTGCATTTCACCTCCACTCTGCAGGGTGCAGAGGCTAAGGCCACAGAAAGGGGGCGCTAGGAGGTTCCCCCCTCCCAGTTTGGCCTGGGAGCTCCCTTTGTGTCAACACAGGCGCACTTTAGGCCTCTCAACCTCAGAGCCAGTTTTACTCTTAACAAATCAGTTCATTAAAAACTGACTTTTGCCCAGCAGTCAGGAGGATTGGGTCGAGTTTGGGACCAGCCTGGGCTACAAAGTGAGCTCAAGGCCAGCCTGAATTGCGTAGTAAGATTCTGTCTCAAAAAGACAAAAACAAAATGACTTGTTCATTCCAAGGAAAAGGGTTAGGGGTAGAATCAGGAAGTTGAGACTCAGCTGATTATGTTCTGTAAATGAGACTTCTTGAATTTGGGGGTGATCATCCTTGATTTGCATTTCCTGTCTAGACCTAGTTTGTACTTCCCGTTCTGACACTCACCTCTCCCACATGTGTCCTTGCAATTGCTGTCTGGGTGTGACTCATCCCAAACCTGGCGATACACAGCACCAGAGACATGCTCTGCAGTAAAGATCATCGTCTTTAATTCTGACCTGTTCTGGGGATTACCTCTGGGAGGGTCACAGAGATTTTGTGAGGGACAGAAGCTGGGGCCTCATGCAGCCAGGTGAGTGCTCTACTGGGCCTTCACCCAGAGCACTCACCCCTATTTTTTTTTTAAAGCAAGTATATTATATGCTGGGTATATAGCTCAGTGGTATAGGCGCCTGCCTGGCAAGTGAAAGGTCCTGAGTGCGATTCCTAGTACAAAAAAAAAAGCAAGTATACTGGTAAAGATCGTGATTTTCACTGGGCCTGGTGGTGCATGCCTGTAATCCCAGCACTCAGGAGGCTGAGGCAGGAGGATCGTTGTGAGTTTGAGACCAGCCTGGGCTACAAAGTGAGCTCAAGGCCAGCCTGAACTGCACAGCGAGACCCTGTCTCAAAAAGAAAAAAAAAAAAAGATCTTGGTTTTCTAACCGTGTGAACATACTCCCAACCACGCTGGCTGGAGAATATGGAAATCCAGGATCTGCATCCCATTCGCCTCGTGAAGCCGAAGTCCTCAAACAGTCCTGACTCTCAGGCTGTCTGGGCCTTGGTCTCTGGGACTTCTCACTCTCACTGCAGAAGGAAGGGTGGCTGGGGCGGGGGTGGGGCCAGCACTTACCAGAGAGGAGTCTGCTCTTCCTGAGAACTCTGCAGTCAGCAGTTCCCTCCGTTACACTGCAAGAAGTGGGGGAAATTGATTTGTATATTTTATTCTAGTGAAAATTCTAGCATCTAGTTTTGGAGCAGGCAGGGAGTTTTAAAGACAACCATGTTCTTTCCCTGGCAGACCCAAAGAATTGGTGGTCACTCATTCAGTACTGACCAGAAGCAGCTGGAGTCAGGTGACTCCAGATCTCAGACCTCAGCTGGTGACCTCAGGCCTCAGACCAAGATGTCCTGACAAGTCTCCACTTACATGCAAGGCTGAGCCCATCCCCCAAAACCTTCAGGAGCGAGCTGGCCTGCCAGAGCCCAGCTTTCCTCTGATCCTCAGTTCCACGTGCCTCCCTCAGCGTGATTCTAGCACTGCCTACCTTGAGGGGATGCACAGAAGGGTCACCACGTGGGAAGGGTGGCATTTCACTGCCCCTGGCTGCTTTAGAACACAGTAGCAAGCAGGTATGCAGCACTCTGGGAGGCTGATGCAGGATGACTATGAGTTCAAGCTCAGCCTGTGCAGCTAAGTCACTTAAGACCTTGTTCCAAAATAAAAAATAAAAAAAAGGGGGGCTGGGGGATGTAGCTTAGTGGGAAGGCTTGCTGGGTGCAACCTTCACTAGGGAAAAAAAAAAGAATGTGGTGTCAGAGGCATAGAGCCTCACAGGCAGGGGGGCTGGGTGTGTTCACCCGTATGGCGCAAGCCCTGCGTTTTCGCTCAGTGGCTTCCAGGAGGACCCTGGGGAGAGAAGCACTGCAGTGTGACGCTTCAAGGGACAGTGGCTACCAGAGGGCACTGGCAGCAACAGAGCTCCAACTCTGGTGCATGAAATACAAAGAAAACAAGCAGCACTGGTAACAACACATTTATTTATGTACCCTGTTGTGTGACCCGGAGGTGCTTTTCATTTTCCGATCGATCGTTAAAACAATTAAAATTCCAAAAGGTAAACTAGTGTTTTATTGTTGCTCATGAGCATAGGTAAACAGACACGTAACACAGTAAGGAATTCTAAACACATCTCACCTTTGGGTGGTTTAAGTATGGTCTGCTAGGCTTTGGCAACAGATCTAATGTGTAGATTACCACTAAGATTCTAAACCTCTTGGTTTTCTTCAGACACAACAGGAAAAATGTGGATATAACTTTTGAACCTCAGGACTTGAACTAAGAAGTTTCAAGAGGCCAAAAGACTCAAGCCTGAAACTGACAGAACTATTGCTACTCAAAGTGAGATCACAGCAGGACTGGCCAACCTGGTACTAGTCTTTCTGTAGGCTCAGTACTTTCTGAAAGTAATTCACTGCAGATGGTAGGCTGCTAGCCTTTTATGTACCAGTTAAAGAAATTCGGAAGGATCCCAAGTCAAAGAACTGGACAGCACATCAAACTGCATTTCCTACAGAGCCAGCCTTTCCCAGCACCTGCTGCTGCAGGATGTTTCCAGATGCCTTCTATCCTCTCTTGCCTTCAAAACTCACTACAGCATCAACTGCAGATCTGACTTGAGTGATCAACTGGTACTCACTGCAGAGAGGATCTAAGGAGGTGCTGATCACCAAGGATGAGGTTTCCATTGCATTAAATTAAAATTACACACTGCTGGCAAGATGAGAGGGAGTTCCCAGATCCTCAAAAACTTTATGGCTAAGGAAGTAGAGAACTCAAAACAGAATCCACCTCCAAGAAATCCAGTATAATAAAATAGAACTAAGTGCCCTGTCTAGGAAAAAGTTTATTAATAATAAGGAACAACTGGGACATCATACATTGTTTCTTTGGAGATTAAAGTGCAGGCTATGAAATGGCATATAAAATAATGCATAAAATAGTGCAATACTAAGGTGCCATTATTTTTATGAAGCATAGCCTATTATTATGTCTTCTCTCAAAGTCCAGCTGTAGCGACACCTTTTTGCTTATTTATTTAAGCATTACTTATACTGTTTAACCCACCTTTGGGGCTACACAGAATATTTTAACACTTTAACATGTAGAATAATGTGTATACATCTTGAAACTACTAAATAGAGATTAAGGCAATCCCCTGTAAAGTTCAGTACTCCCAAACACATTTTACCAAAAGAATTGCTTCCAAAACCAGTGGCTTTAGACCTGATGGCACCCCACAGGCTCTGAACAGCAGGACTGCTCTGCATTTTCCTACATCTTTCCCTACTTCCAGGCTCCATAGGGCAAAAGACCAGTCAGAACACAACAGGCTCTGTGGCCTCGGGGCGTGTGGGAACCGCGTCAGTGTGTGCGAGGAATAAGCAGTAGGATGCTGGGGGGCAGTCCTCTTTACTTTCCGCACACATCTTTTCACATTTTTACACGTACTGGTGTTGAACCATAATAAACGTAGGTGGACATGACACAGTAAAACACAGACATCTCTGAAAAGAAGTCAAGGTGATGGAAATACTTTATGAAATGTTGCGCTATTAACAACACACAGCATTTAGATGACTGACAAAATTTGGGGAGGGAGAGTGATCTCCTAGGAAGAGATCATCTCCTGGTTTACAAGCAATGTAATATTACCAGTTTTAGCTGATGAAAATGATGTGTGATCTTTAGAACCCTCAGTACCTACAAGCTACCCCAAAGCAGGTGTGACATCTACCCAACAGTTGGCTCAGTGACGGTGAAGGTAACAACCTACAGCAGTTTAGCTAGTTTGAAACTTCAACTTAACTGTAGTGTTTGGTTTCACTGCATGTGGAACATTCACACACTGACAAGTGCAACTCAAGGCTGGGACTGTGTGCTGCAGAAATCTGGTCTGGGGAACAGAAAATTTACTTTCTAACACCGTGGATGGTACTACGAAAGCCATACACTCATGTTAACCAAAGCAAGGCTACAGATACATTTAGGCTAAACAGATGGAGTTTAAAAGGAAATTCAGAAAGCTTTTAACAATTTGTTAACAACTACTACAGAAATAATCTGAGGCTATACCCCTTTGATGCATAAGGTTTATACTTTGTAAACCTGCACTCGGCTACTTGAAAAAGTCTTCCTGTTACAGCAGAAAAACATACTAACGGCTGTGAGTATGCCAGTAGGCCTCCTGCAAAGTTCTGGTAATATGGCTAAATCCTATGGTTACAAAAGCGAGACCTGCTGAGGAAAATTCGCTCCAGACAGGGACTTTTATGGATGACCTTGGCTGACAAATGTTTTTAGGAAACTGTTTATTTTAAAATTACCTTCCCAACAAACCATGAAACACCTGGACATTACTTTATGGTTTTTCATTGAAAACATACTACATTGTAAACGGAGTTTAAAAGTTAAGACATAGAATTGATCAAAATCTGAGGACAAAATTAAGAAAGGACAATACTAAAAATGGACAGGAAAAAGTTTCATTTGGTAACTTAACCTAAAGTAGGAATAACCATGTCATGCTGGACGGATACAGGTGGTGGATAACCTTGTGCTTTTATTCAACTAAGGTACTTACCAAAACCTTGGGTTTTATACAGGTGTCAAACTCTCATCTGGAAAGGGACAGTTTTCTATATTACACCTACATTTACTTTAAATAACTGAAGCCCAAGGCAGCAGTTTAAAAGAATTTAACAGTCAAATAACTACATAATTTAGTACATAAAAAGAAAACTAGGACAGTGATAACTGAATGTCTCAAAAGTATACAGCTCAGGAAGAGAACCACTGTACACATTTTGGAGGTTGTTAAAGTGACCACTCAGAAGGGTGAACAGTGCAAGACATGCTTTTCCAGTTACAAGCTCAAAATAGGAGTGCAAACAAAATTAAAGCTTCTGTGTAAAGTTAGGACAAGGAAAGCCTGAAATTAATATTAAAAAGCTTCCCTCAGGTCAGCTCTCAATAATGAAATGATCGAATTGCCTTTTCATGGCACAATTTTCTTCAGTGAATTTTCCTTCAGTGGCAAAACTAAATCTACAAGCTGGGTCCCACATTTGATCCTCATGCACAGTGAGGAGTTAGGACCAGCACTAGCTCCCAGAGGCCTGGTCTTGATAGAGCCTTGGACCTGGGGTTCTGCCTCAGCCAGTGTACCTGAACCCTACAGAGGACAGAAAAAGTGAGGGGTTTTAATAGTCTCTTGTTCCTATAAAACTGGAGGACAAACGGACTAGCAATTCTCCCCTGGAGGCAAGCAGTTGTGGTGGAAGATGTAAAGCACTTAAATCAACAAGATGCTAAGAAGTAGAGAAGTATAGAGGTTCAAGATCAATGCCAGTGCAAGAGCTTTTAAGTGGGTTGACTAGGCAGTGCATGCATTCATCCATGCGAATGTAGGACATGGCCCCAGAGAGAACTGAAAACGTGGATACCAACTGGATCCTTCCCTTGCCAGTAGTTTATAAAAATATATAGTCAATACTGTAGAGGCTCCTTCTACAGTCAATACTATGCAAGTCCTTTCAGTTACCCATGACTTCGATACCAAAAAGCTTAACTACTTTTCAGACATTCCAGACAAAGGTCACTTAAAACAAAAAGTCAACTTCTTTTTTGAAAACAAGATAGTGTCCATTTAAAAAGTAGGTTTTTTTCTTTCAAGTGAACAGGACATTTTCTGTATGAAACAATTTCTAGTCTGTCAAGACTGTTTTGCTTAAGATCCTAGGTAATGTGCATATATGCAGAAACAAATAGACATTATCTGCACAGAAAAAAGTCAACTCCCCAAAACATGATAGAACAGATCTGGTTAGTACAAATCTATTGCAAAGTAAAAAGACTCTGTGCGTCAGTTCCACAAGGAGAAGCAGGGGAGAATGTCCCAACCATGAGTTCAGGTTGAAGTCGTGTTCTGAAAGCCTAGAAGCCCCGGACACAGCGTTGTTCCCAGGATCCTGATAGGCAAAGCCATGCCTTCCTCTGGGGCAAGGCCCATGCTCTCCAATTTACTTTCGATTCCGAAGTCGCTTCGATTTTCTAAGTGAGTCTATGGTTTCTGCAGCCTTTCTCCGTTTCCGAGGAGACTCCTCACTCTGCCTAGCTCCGGAGGAGCTTCCCACTGCGCTCTCCATGACTTCCCGCAGTTTGCGCTCCAGCTCCGCCAACCTCGCATTCTGCTCACCTATGATCTGGGTCTGCTCCAGCAGTTTCTGGTCTTGGTCTTGAAGCTGTTTCTGCTGTTCCTGCACTTTGGTGCGAAGCTCAGAAATTTCTCGCCTGAGAACAGTCACTCCAGCACCGTTGGTCTTAACCTGCTGCTGGAGTTTAGTAACCTCTTGTCTCGAAGGGTTTTGCTTCGAGAAGAGCTGCATTGTTGTTAGGGCTGCAGACGGTCCTGGAACTGTGGAGAAACAGTTTCAAAGGGTCACCACTTACATGTTTCCTGACCAGAGATACTCAGGGAAAGCTCATTTTAGGAAGCAATATCCTCCTCTCACTTCTGAGAATTTCTCCTTTGCAATTTATTTGGTTGAACAGATTAATCAGATAATTACTGAACTACGAATGAATCTGAATTCTCTTTCTCCTGCTCACAGAGCAATATAGCATATTGAGTGCCAGCAAGTGGAGAAAGCACTGAATAGCACAAGCACGGATTTCAAATACTGTCAAGCATTTTTAGGACCAAGTCAGAAAATACAAGTACTCAAATTAGCAAATTGCTACTTTCTATCTTATTTTACATAAATGAACATAAACTTCCAAGTTCGAAGTAGACCTATGATGTTTTTCTGTTTTGTGGTAGTGGGGATTCAACTCCGGGCTTCACGCATGCTACGGAAGCGCTTTACTGCTCAGCTACATCCCAGGCCTACCATGTTCTTAAGTTCACCGCACTCAGCTAACAGACAACAAGGACCCTATCACAGCATGGGTCGCATCACACAAAATCACCAGAAAGAACTGCTGCCACGGTGTATGAAGGCTTCAGTACTATTCTTTTTTAAGAGTCGCTGGAATGTAAACATGGGCACAGAATTCATGATTTTAAACCGATAACCAAGTATTTTACAACCTCCTCCCCCAACCTTTTCATTATGTAGCCCAGGCTGCCCTGCAACGAACTCCTCCCATCCTGTCTCAACCTCCTGAGTGCTGGAATTACAGGTGTGCACCACCACCCTCCCCATTTAAATCCTTTCTCCTAAATGTTTTCTAAAAGGACCAGAGGCCTATTCCTAGCCCAAACCCAGCATGCTCATTTTCTCCCTGCACATACAGAACCACAATACTTACCTCCCTGAGGAACAGTCTCCCCTCCCTCGCCACTTATCCTAGACAACTTTCACGTGCTCCAGGCCTCAGACCCCCATCACCTCCTGCACTGCGTCAACCGTACCAGCCCACCCAGGCTTCATCTTCCTAGCCACTCTGCCTTAAAGGGTTTCTCTTGCTTACAGCTATTTAACTTTGAGTGGGCAAGACCTGCCCCACTGCAACAGCAGGGTCCTTTTAGTGTCCACAGGACACAGAATAGTGCTGTGCACATGACAGGTGCTCAATAAGTAATATCTAAATAGATGCTGCAGGCTTGCCATTAAATCAGAGACCACCGCCCCACAGAGCACTGTGGGGCATGAACTAATCTGAACAGAAAAAGGTTTGCTAAGCTCTCCCTCCCCTCTTGAAGTATCTGCAAGAGCGGAGAATACTGAACAACTTCAAAAAAATAAGGACACAAATCTGTTGCATCCAATATACTTTTATAAAATAGCTACCAGAGAAGCAACAATGTTCAAAGAGCTCTATGTGCACTGTCTTTAAAGGAGCAGCCAGACTCTGCAGTGGCTGAGGTAATTTACTGAATTATTTCCATGAAGAATTTGAGGTTTTATCTGTTATGCTTAATCCTGTTTTTAAAAACTATTAGGTAATCAGAAGCCCCCCAATTGTATATCCTAATGTATATATAAAACTTTTAACTCAACAATGCTTTTTTTTTGGTACCAGGAATTGAACTCAAGACTTTGTGCTTGCCAGGCAGGCACTGTACCACTGAACTGTATCATCAGCCCAACAATGCTACTTTAATGAAACTTGTTAGTCTACAGTTGTGGATATATGCGAAGATTTAGTCACAAAATTGTTCTATCGATTATAATTGAATGGAAAAACTACTGACATTCAATGCCTAGCACCAAAACAAAACAAAACAACACCATAAACTAAAAAGATTAGAAACAAAACAATGGATTCTGCATACAGTTATAATCTGTAAGTCAATCTGTCACTAAAAGTGATGTTGTCAATGAATATTTTCTAACAGAAAATTTCAACAAACACAGTTAAGTGGGGGGAAAAAAAGCGAGTTATAAAACTAGGCTCGGGGGCTGGGGATTTAGCTCAGCGGCAAAGCGCCTGCCTGGCAAGCGCAAGGTCATGAGTTCGGTTCCCGGTACCGGAGAAAAACAAAAAAAACAACAAAAAAAAAAACTAGGCTCCCATGTTAATCCAAACTGAAGGTATTTTAAACAAGAACTACCTGGAGGAGAGCCCATGAGTCTTCCAGACACGTCTGATCCTGGCAGCTTTCTCTTCAGAATCGGAACAATCTTCTCATCAAAGTATTCCATGGCCATGGAGGAAATGTCCCTTAACTCTTGGAGGACTTCATGCGCTCGCTGTGGGGCTCTGGTAGAATTGACATATCTCAACACACGGTAAATCTCATCAATCACCTAAAACAACGAGTTCTCATTAGCACTTTAAGAAAATGGCTCCGAAGCAAAGAAGTGACGGCTGGTTCTGCAGTTCCTGTGCAGATGTACTGGCCATGGGTGAGAGTACCAGCTGGACACACAGCTTCAGGCTTCTTACATTACCTTATACTCAGATTTACTAAACACCTTTCTGTCTGGTTTTTGAGACACAGTCTCACTATGCAGTTCATGTTGGCCTTGACCTCACTATGGAGCCCAGACTGTCTCAAACTCTTGGTGATCCTCCTGGAGCCTCAGCCTCCCAACCAGTGAAATTAAGATGTGCACCACCACACCCAGCCTACTAAAGACCTTTTATGAACCAAAGGACTTTGCTGGGGCTAAGAAATCAGGAAATAAAATAGAGCTCTTGCCCTAAAAGGCAGCAGAGTAACTGGAGAGACATATGTACACATAAATAGCACAGAGAGGGCCCTACAAATTGCTAAAGAAACCAGAGGACTGAAGAAAGAAATTAAATCTTGTGTTGATTTAGGGAGCAGGGGTGGGGTGGGGGCCCAAGCCGTGTGCGGCTAACCCTCCACACCCTGTTTATCTCCCAAAGCCCCAGCGTTCGGTCAGAGTGCTTTCGCCCTCTCGCACTGCCCACCACACATTCTATCCCTTAAAGTCTGGTTCTCTCAGAGCTGCCAGGTTTCTAATAGGTTCCTCAGACTGTGCTCCTGCCATCACCAATGGGTAGCAAAGACCCTTCTGTCTTAGCAACAGTTACTGTTAAGGGAAACAGAGGGCATCACACCCCCAGAGAAGGTTAAGTTCTTACAGGATAGCTCCTGGGGCCTGTTGGAAAGGCACTGAACTGCCCTGAGCATTTCTGCCCTCGGCTTTATCCCACCAAGGAAGCCTGAGTTCTCTCAAAGGTTTCCACAGCGACCTGAAGGTGACACTGCCCACCGGAGATGCCGTGCAGGCGACTTCACCACACAAGAATGAGGGGCTGACAGAGCAGCACCTGCCCAAGGTCACAGCCTCGAAGCCCTGTGCCAATCTACGTCTGCCTACGATGCTCACTTCACAGATGCCAGAGCAACAAACAGGTAGCATCTGCCAGAGAAGAGTGTAGAAGAGGCCAGGAGTAAGCATGCAGAACTGCCCAGGAACCGGCCTGGGCGTAAGGGGTATCCCCAGGCTGTCTAGGGTGACACTGACAGCAGGCAGCTGGACAGAACACTGTAGAGGGCGGTGTGGTCCCAAGAGCCCAAGCAGTCAGAGGCACCAGCAGTGCTGCGGGGAACGCGTGAACGAGCGCAGCAGTGCGGAGTCCAAGGCACCCGCCAGTAATGCTGCATCTGTTTCTGGCATTACTACTCCACATGGAACTCGCTTTTGAAGAATGTGATTTTGGTTTCAATAACTTATTCAACTACTATGTTAGAAAGCACTACCTATATTGAGAAGAAAAATGTGGGCTGGCGATTTAGCTCAGTGGCACAACGCCTACCTGGCAAGTGTGAGGTCGTGAGTTTGATTCCTGGTATGAGAAAAAGAAAAAAAAAAAAGACATTGTTTCCCCTAGGTTCCCTGCATCTACGTGAGCATACCCTAGGCCAGTGGTGGCAAACCTATGGCACATATACCACAGCAGGTTGGCTGCAACACTGCAAGCTCTAAAAGGCTTGCTGTCACTGCCCCAGACTGTGACGAGCATTGCACAAACACAACTGAGTTGTTCCTGTGTACGTGTCCTGGCTCAACACATTTGGTAAAAAAACCCACAAACATGGTAACAAAATCGTTATTCTTATGAAAACCAAGAGACAAATAATAAAAATATTTTCAGATCTTTTATAAGAAAAAGAGGGTCATGTGACCATACCTTCTAGGGTAGACGGGGGCCAGGGAGGATTCTCTGAGGCGCTGAAGTGGGCAAATGAGGAACAGGATGGTCACTCCGAGGCCTGGGAGAGCAGTCCCAAGGCCAGCACCAGCTCGGCTTATTTGGGGGTGCTCAAGGGCAGGAAACAGGTACTATTTTATATTTACTTTAAACAAGAGGGTGTAAGAATAGAACTTACAATATTTTTTTTTTTTTTTTTTTTTTTTTTTTTTTTTTTGTTTTTCTCCGGTACCGGGAACCGAACTCACGACCTTGCGCTTGCCAGGCAGGCACTTTTGCCACTGAGCTAAATCCCCAGCCCCAAACTTACAATATTTTTGTAAAATAGCTACCACCATTAGTATTATCTTACATAAATGTGTGTATATATATCTCCAAATAAATATTTAGGAAACTAGCAGAAGCTTAAAGCTGTAAAAATTATGAAATACTCAAAAATAATTAAGAAATGACTAAAAAACTGGGTGCAGTGGCACACACCTGTAATCCCAGCACTTGGGAGGCTGAGGCAGAAGAATTGCCACGAGTTTGAGGCTACCCTGGGGCTAACGACTTCAAGGCCAGCCTGGACTGCATAGCAAGACCCTGTCTCCAAAAAAAATAAAGTCTATTTTAAAAAGGTTTCCATATTGTCTAATATTTTACATGCTAGTGCTACGATATTAATTATCAATAGCTTTGTTTTTTATCAGTTTTGGGAAAGCACTATAATGCTCCACTGCTTTTTAAAATGCTGTCCCCAATGCCAGTATATTGCACTTATAGCCATAAACTGGCCATTATCTCTCAGTACCCCATCTTGTTGCCCAAGGTGTTTACAGATTCTGAACCCTCTGCTGCAATACTCTCCTTTTGTATCTCCTTCAAGCCAAAGTCCTTGCCCATTCTTTTTCTTCTTCCTTACTCGTTTTTTTTTTTTTTTTCCCGGTCTTTTTTGAGACAGGGTCTCACTATGCAGTTCAGGCTGGACTTGAGCTCACTTTGTAGCCCAGGCTGGTTTCAAACTCACAACAATCCTGCCTCAGCCTCCCAAGTGCTGGGATTACAGGCGTGCGCCACCATGCCTGGCTTTATTGGTTTTTTGAGACAGAGTCTCACTAAGTATTTCAGGTTGGCCTCGAACATGCAATGATCCTCCTGCCTCAGACTCCCAAGTGCTGGGATTACAGATGAGTGTCACCACACCTGGATTCCTTGCTGATTCTTAAGGTCTCAGCAACATCCTACTTTCTCAAAGTAGTCTTCTCTGAACCCCCTCCAATGTAAATCATGTTAACATCTTCATTAAATCTTTTATTGTTTCTTCAGATACAATTACACATTGTAAATTTATCTTTTTGTTAATCTGTCTTCCACATACCATAGTAAGCTTTGGGACAGAAGAGATCATACCTGATTTCACTGTCAGATCCTAAGCCTAGCAGTGTGGTATACAGCAGATACTCACAGACATGGTCAAGTATTTTAATTGCTTAATATTGGCATATCTATACATTTTGTGGTTTTTTTTTTTTTTTTTTTTTTGTTTTTCTCTGGTACCGGGAACCGAACTCATGACCTTGCGCTTGCCAGGCAGGCGCTTTGGCATATCTATACGTGATCAAGCTACAGAGTTAAACTCAGTGCAGCAATATGGCCTTTAGAGAGCAGACTCTGAACACAAAGGTCAGAGTTAACAGGATTTCTGAGAGGAATTTCTGAAGATACAAATACTTAAAATAGCACTTACATGTTTCATGTGGCATACATTCCTGTATTAATAAAGCTCTAGCTATTACATTATGTACATAAATACCAGCAGAAGCATATTCACAGTACATGTGAGCTAGATTGGGAATGACTGCTGTCATTGTCCGGTTCAGGCACGAGAAGACTCAGATCCTAGGATGTGGAAGACATGCACTTCCTGAAAGACTCACAAATAGCAAAATGCGAGTCAGACAGATTGTAAGAAGTTCCATGAAAGCAAAGTGTTGTGGGAAAATAAGAAAGCAGAGGTAGGATCTGTCTGAGAGCTGTCCTGAGAAAAGCCAGGATCATGGGTCAGGGAAGCCGGCAAGAGTGGGAACCTGACTAGGAAAGAACAGGGCTCAGAGGGGATGGCAGGTGTGGGCAGGAGCCACCGCCGGAAAGCCACACTGGGTAGTGCTACTGCCTACCTGACATCTGTTCTGGGGAGTCCAACGCTGATTTCTCAGGATGAATTTCAGATCAAAATATCCCACAGGCACTGCTACCTCACACTAAATTGTAACTATACATATTAGTTATATTTACTGTTAGAAATATTTACTGTTTACTCTTCCAAAAATAGTGTGAAAAACAGGTCATTTCTTTGTACTTGCTCAAATCTTCCACTGACAAAGGTAGTGTTTTCAAATCTTTATACTATACAGAGATTTTAGTCAAAAGGATGGATAATCCACATTGTTAATAAATTTAACATGGTTTCTTTCTTCTGTCCAAGAGTGATGAGCAGGGGACGAGATGATGGTGACAACAGTGTGAGGAAAAACTACACTGCTTCTCTCACAGCTGTCAGTGTCTGCAGTGGCATAAAGGCTCGTATTTATCACATTTTAAAGACAGTTCATTTTTTGAGTAGGTCTGGTCATTTCCATACATTATTTTGAGGTCTAGTGGAAAGAACACAGGCCTCAGTCAGGGCACTTAATGGCTATTTCTTGACTTAAAATAGTATGCCACACACTGGACCTTACCTAGGCTGCAGATCATAAAGTAAGTTACTGATTGATTGATTCTGACTGATTGATTGCTGTACTGGGGATCGAACCCAGAGCCTTTGGACTAAGCGATGTCACCAGCCCTTTAAAATTTTTTACCTTGAGATGGCGTCTCACTAAGTGGCTGAGTTTCCCAGACTGGGCTTGAGCTTCTGAGCCTCCAGCCTTCAACTACCAGAGTGCTGGGATCATGGGTGTACACCACCACATCTGGCTTGAAAAGTGATTTTAAACTTTAAGAAGATATGACACAAAGGACGTGGAACAACAATTACATTTCTAACACACAGTTCACTGTGTCATGCTTATACTTAAATTAGCACAGTAATAAATGAAATACTATTATTTAAGCCTTTAGGCTACTGTGAGTGAAAGAGAATATTTTTTAATCTATTGTTCAGCAAACAAAGATCCTATTAGACTTATGAACCTATGTTTTATTTTCCAACTTTTTTCTTTTGAGACAGGGTCTCGCTATGCAGTTCAGGCTGCCCTTAAACTCACTATATTGCACAAGCTGGCCTCAAACTTACAGTGCTCTTCCTGCCTCAGCCTCCAAATTGGGATTACAGGTGTGCACCACCATGCTTGGCTCTATATTCTTTTGTTCTACTTGAGATTTCCTAACTTCGCCATTTACCTCTTTTGCTTAATTTTTTAAAAATTTCTTCCACACTTTAAAACTTTCAATGTTTAAAACTGAATATTCTTTATATGGTATGTGTTACATATCTTTAATTTCTCTTAGACTATCATGGTTTTTTTTTTTTTAAGTTTTCTAACCTCACACAATTTCTTCAAAGGCTTTTTTTCTTCCTGTTTGTTTTCTGTACATACTTATCTAGTGATTCTCTGCTCTTTGCTTATATTTAAGACTGCAGCACATAAAAAGATGATCAGAATTCTCTGGTTATCCAAGATGGGAAGAGTGCGGAGGAGGGATCTAGAAATTCAACATGGAAATACACTTTTTTTCACTTTAAAGGCTCACATGGTGGGTATATTTATTTTGGGGTAATCACAGTAAAACCAAATTTAACAGGAAAAAAAAAAAACCTGCAACATTCTGGAAATATCAGATATATGTAAGCTGAAGGCCATCCCTCCAAAGAACTGATACACACTGTTCAAAAAGGTGAAGATGAAGAGACACAAAAGAGCCTAGAGACTGTTTTGGCTCAAGCTCAGAGTCCATCCACAGCCCTCAGTGAAATTCTAGACTGAGAAAAACTGCTAGAAGCAGTAGTATTTGAACATGTGATAAAATCTAAATGAAACCATCAATTAAATAAAAGAACTATGTTACAATTTTTCTAATTTTTGTACATGGACTATAGTTAAGTAAATACTGTAATTCTTAGCAGATATATTGAAATATTTAAGAATCAAAGACTATGGGCATGATGGGCACACTTGTAATACCAGCACTCAGGAAGCTGAGGCAGGAAGATTGCTTTGAGTTCCAGGCCAGCCTGGGCTACATAGGCAAGTTCCATGCAGCCTGCACTACATAGTAGGACCTTGTCTCAAAAAAGAAGGAAGAAAGAAGGATTGTGGGAGATTGTGTATCTCCAAAGATTGTATGTCTCCATTTATTTTGAGATGGCCTCTTGTTCTTCAGATGCAGACAGCAGCTGCTGCAGTAGTGACCACACATCACTGAACCACCTAGCAGGAGTGACTAGCCACCTGCTGGAGCCTCTGAGCTCAGCTGGGTAGAAACCAGCCAAAGATGCGAAGACGCTAACACTGAAAAAGTGGCTGAAAAGCTAGAAGATCTCTCAGTGAAGGAGAACAAGGACCCTGAAGAGGAGACCAATGAAAGGCCTGAGAAGCAAGGAGTTCTCTGAACTTCTCTCCTTTTCCTTTTTCTCTCTTCTTAAAAAATTTTACCCCTCATCCTTTATTCTTTTTGAATTATTTTTATTCTGTTTGTTTCTACAAGGGACTTTATAGAAAGAACTTAATAGTAAAAAATTGTGTATTACACAGGAAAAAAATGATCTTACACAGCATCTGCAGCAGCCTGGTTCTGGAATGTCCCCCAATGGCCTTTGTGTTTAGAGTCTTGCTCCTCAGAGCTGCTACGGGATGGGAGGGTCTATCGGAAGGAAGGTCACTGGACTCGTGCCCTCAGAGGGGCTATCTCTCTGCTTCCTGGCTGCCATAAGGAGCCCAGCACCTCTGCTATGTGGTCCCACCCTGGCCACGATGCACTGTGCTGCCACAGGCTCAAAACCATAGAGCTAAGTGACAAGGGACTGAAACCTATGACATGGTGAGCACACCAAATCTCTTCTTAGAAGACTATTACTTCAGGCATTTGTAACAGCAATGGAGAGCTGACTGGCTCAATGCCCTCACAACCTCAATTTGAAGGTTAAATGCCATGTGCTTATGCTTTGAAGATATTGTATGAGCAGTTTAAGGACAATCCAAATACTGTAAACTCGTGGTGAAGTTAGAAATTTTGCCTAAATAAAATAAAAAGTACCAGCAACATAAAAATAAAAAGCAAAATTCTGAGTATACACATAATCATTTTAGGAAATATGAGCTATTAAAGAAGGTACTTTTATTTTATTTATTTATTTATAAGAAGGTACTTTTAAAAAACAAAAATCACAAGCTGAACAAATTAGTATTTTTTTTGGTTATTCCCAGTCAAGTGCAGGTATGCGGGAGAAAAACAAATTAGGATAAATTCTTGTGAAGAAATGGATATTAGTAAAGAAACAAGGAAGAAAACAGGAAGGTAACTGAGAAATCGGAAGTCTGGAGTACAGTTTTCATCAAATCAGTCAACTTCTCTTCTGGGCTTCAAATTCTCTATCAATAAAGCAGAGAAAATAACCTTTTCATCACTCAACGTGCACACCTATAAATGAGATCGTGTAAAAGAAAGTTCCCCACAATCATAAGATGCAGCCAGGACAAGAGAATGGGACAGTGAGACATTCATGCCATGATGCAGAGGTAGGAGCCAGGCTCGTCCCAAGTGCTGTCCTACCAAGGCCAGATGAGGGCTCCCGTGAACAAGCTGCCGAGGGCACATGCTAGGAGGACCACTGTGTCTGGAGCATGGGATCCATCCCCACTGCTGCCTTGAGCTGGGGCGTAAGCTCAAGGGAAGAACGTCAAAGGAAAGAACCAGCAAGTGGTTTCTACAACAGCAGGAGTCCTTTGGACTTTGCCTCATTTCTCAGACACAAAGACACTGTGGCAGCTGTGTGCACCTGGTGCTCAAGAACCAAGGCTGGCCACGTCTTCCATGAGAGCCAGGTGCTAAGCACTGCAGTCTCTGCAGGTCCTGGGAAGTTGACCACAGACAGACCTCTCCATTGCTTAGTTATAGCTGACTGAACCACCTTGACATTCTGAAACTGTCAGATGGTTCTTTAATACCGTACCAGTTCAAAGGATACCTGAAGAGTAAACCAACACCTAAGAATTAAAGCCTAGAAATCTCTTTTGCCTAAAATCTGGCAACAGAGTCACAATCTACAGTTTCTAGTCAGTCACCATTTTACAGTTTCTACAAAAGCATTTGTTAGGTACACCAAGGGATATTCAAATCCAATTATAGGGGCTGGGGATTTAGCTCAGCGGCAAAGCGCCTGCCTGGCAAGCGCAAGGTCGTGAGTTCGGTTCCTGGTACCGGAGAAAAACCAAAAAAAAAAAAAAAAACAAACAAAAAAAAACAAATCCAATTATAATAAGGTAATTGGATCTCCCCAAAATAAATGTCATAGAAACTGAACATGAAAACTATACATACCCTATACTGCTAATGTCAATTATCTATGAAAATAACAGAGTATTTGTATTCTATTAGATATTAATTAGTTCCAATCATGTAAAAGGAGCCTTTTACCACCATCAGATCAAATAGCAAAGTAACAGTCAAGTCCATACCACTGGTTCCGTATCTCATCTGCACTTACACTTCAAGAAGTAAAATTCCCTATATACATAAAATAATTCCCCATAATGAAGGTAATCATTATGTACTACGAACATGTAGCAGTAAGTTTTTTTTAAAAAGTGAAATTCTTAACTCATGTGGAATGCTGATGTTTATACTAACTTAGTAAACATGCCACAATACCCTTATCTCTATGGTAAAGAGGACCACTACTTAGCTCAGAGTGTTCTGCTACACAGCAATTATTTATTCTAGAAGCAATTACTAAATCTGGGAGTTTATAACACAGCTATAAATAAGTGCACATAAATTGCTGTTACAGCAATTATTAAATCTGGAAGTTTATAAGGTTGGCATTGAGAAACATTTCTCGAACAAAACAAAAACTATCTTCTTCTGTTGCTCCCTCTCCACAGTGTACCAACCTCAGAGGCAGGAAAACCCTATCTTATACACTGCAGTGTCTCTGGAATCTTAACTAAAGATCAGCACTTGAATCTGAACTCTTAACAAGCTTCTCCGTAGAATATGAGTTTCTACTGCATGAATTTGCATTTCCAATGTAAAGACCATATATATGATATATACTAGTACTGATATCCATACAGAAACTAAACAGATCTATTCATAGAAACTCATTCAGAGAAGTAGCAGCAATTCTGACTTTTCAAAAACCATGTTGTAAATTTACAACAATCACAGTTGACACAGGACAATACAGTTGTTCTGGGTAAGCAGTTCTACTTTACCTTTCCTGGGATGAAGCAACAAAGATTGGAATCCACATACTTCATAAAAGTCATATTTAACAGTGACAGCCTTGTTTCCACAGCAGCAAGGATGTCTGCATGACGAGCTAAAGAATGGTTTCTCCTTTCTGATTCTCTCCTAAAATTATAAAAATAATAGCATCCACTAAGGCAGTACTGTAGATTAAAATGTTAAGCAATCAAAATGCTGTACTGAAACACTCTAACAGTGATGTGTGAATTTAGAAATCTACAATGAGGTCATAACTGTAATGATGAATTCACTGACAAAATAACTAAAAAATAAAAACCACTTTATATTGAAAAGGAATTAAGGCAGAGGTTTAGATTCATGTATAGTGCTTACTTAGCATGCACAGGACCTGGGTTGGTTAACCACTACTGCAAAAAAAAAAAATTTATATTTTTTCCTTTTGGGGGGGTATATCAAGTCTAAGGGCTCTATTACACATAAACACAGCCACAGTATGCTTTTGCTCATAAAACTTACCACCTCGAAATAGTTTTACTCAAAAGTAATTCACAAGTGGAGTGTGCTATGGATTGTTAGTGTATTCAGTCATGTAATCGCTTTCACTAATCTAACAGAACATTCTCATTGCCAGTCACTCCCTCTCTGCCCGTACCGAATCTACTTTCTATTTCCCAGACTTGCCTACTGCGAGCATTTCCTATAAATGGAACCCTATGGTGTATAGCTTTCTGTCTGGTTCTTTCACTTTGCATAGTTCTCATGGCTCACTCACGTTCCAGTGCATATCTCTTGATGGCTGAACAACACTACCCTATATGGAAATATCATCACTTCATTTATGGACATCTGAATTGTTCAACATTTTGGCTACTAGTTATTTGGTTTTGTTTGCCTTTTTTCCTGTGCCCAGATCATACCCACAGCCTTGTGTGAACTCCTGTTCTAATTTCTTGTGAGTACGTGGCTATGAGTAAAACTTCTGGGTCACATGCAAGCTGTAACTTTCAGAGAACAGCCACACTGCTCCAACAGTGCATTTCATTCACACTTCCCTGATAAGAATAGTGCTGGACCTCTTCTACATGTTCACTGCCACCAGTATATTTCACTGGAGAAACATCTACTGAAACTCCTTTCACTCTGATTGTCTTCTATTACTGAGTTCTAAGAGTTCCTCACATAACCTGGATGTGACGCATATCTCTTATCAGGAACATAACCTCAACATGATTTCCCCTTTCTGTGCGTCGCCTTGGTACTCTTTTTCCCCCTAATACTGGAGACTGAACACAGGGCCTTGCATATGCCAGAGGAGCTCTCTACTATTGAGTTACATCCCAGCCCTCACTTTCTCATAGATGCCTTAGAGCTACAAAGCTTTAAATTTTGATGATATGAAGTTGCCCATATCTTTTTTTTCCCCCTCATTTATGCTTTTGTCATCATATATAACAAACACTGCCTAGTCTACCTTCATGAAGATATCCTATTATGTCATCCAAGGGTTCTGGAGTATAATGCTGACATTTCCACTTAGTCTACTGTCTTTCTATAGCATGTGAGGTGGGGTCCAACTTCATACTCTTATGTGCAGATACATGGTTTTACTAGGACCATTTGTTGAAAACACTTTTCTTTCCCCCATTCAACTGTCTGGGTATCCTTGTTGAAAATCAACTGACTAAAAGTACGAGTTTGTTAGTCCTCTAATATCACTATTGTTCTCTAAGATTCTTTTGAACCTCTTGTATTTCCATATGAACTTTAGGATCTGCCTGTTATGTTTTGTAAGAAAGACAGGGTTTTGACAGGGACCGCACCATGTTTGTGTAGATCAGTTGGGGAATACTGCTACCTTAATAATATGAACAATTTCAACCCACAAACATGGAATGGCCTTCCATTTATTTAGACTTTCTTTAATTTCTTTCAACAATGTTTAGCAGTATTTGGTATGCAAGTCTCAAGCTTCTTTCATGGAATTTCTTACTAAGTACTCTTTTTCTTTGTCTTTTTGAGACAGGGTTTTACTATGCAGTTCAGGCTGGGCTTGAGCTCACTTTGTAGCCCAGGCTGGTCTTGAACTTGCAATGATCCTCCTGCCTCAGACTCCCAAGTGCCCCAATTATAGGTGTGCACCACCACACCCAGCTGGTACTTTTTCTTTGTGACATTGTTATAAATGGAACTGCCTTTTAAATTTCATTTTCAGATTGTTCCCTGCTAGTGTGTAGAAATACAACTGACTTTTATATATTGATCTCATACCTTGCTTATTTACTTTAATAATTCATTACTGTATTTCTGGTATACAAGAACATATCTTTGAGCAGAAAGAGCTTTGCTTCATCTTTTTTACATGGTGGCCTTTTACTTCATTTTCTTAGGCAAGAAAACCAAGCGACAGTAGAAATCACTTATTGTGATCCGTGTGTTCTTTCTTACAAGAAGTGGAAGCTACTTAAACTCTGAAGATTTAAAAACTGGAAGCTCTGAGATTTAAAAACTAATTAACTATCAGTATAAAAACCAAGCAACACCTGAACTGTAAATGAGTGCCACTGGCAGTCATGGCATACCTTGGGAGCTGTGCTTTCACTTGCTTCTGACACAGGTTATGGTACCTCTCCACCTTCAGAAATCCCTGATTCAACATTCTCTGGCAAACCAAGTCCATTCTTTTACAAACCTATGGGGGAAGAGGGAGACGGGATTTTAATAAAACAAAAAATGAATAACCAAAATGTTCACAGTAAACTTACACTTCTAATGGCTGAATGTTGTTGGTGGTAGAATTGCTCCTTTGTTTGCTCTGTGAAATCAGTTAGTGGAAGAAACCTCTAAATCATGTCATTACTATAGCATTTCATTGACAAATGAATATGATGCATGGCCAAGAAACAGCATTGACTCTAGGTGTTAGCGGAATGTTTTGTGTCAGAGACTAGTTCTGAAGATCAGTAAAAGAATGTATTTGAGTATTTTTAATAGTTTTAAAGAAGAAAAATTCCCTCTCTGCCAAAATGTATAATGGAACTTGAGTCTAATCTCTCACAAAATTTGTATGATTGATAATCAGAATGAGAATTCTAATTTCTTCTGGTAATTTAGGCTAACTATAGAGCATTTGCAATGATCAGAGCCTTTATTTGTGCTGATCAGAGCCTTTATGTGAGATACTGTTACACCTTTGACAACATTTTAACATGTAGCTGAAAGGCAAGTATTTTAAGTTCTCATAGAATATGGTGTTTTTAAACAGTAAAAAGCAAAAGATCTGAAGTCAGAGCAGCTAATTTGCATTCCTACACAAGTCAGCTACCATCTAAGACTGTGAGTCAGCCATCTCTAGTAGTATGTGGACAGTATCTTACTTATAGGGCCATCATTAGGATTAAATGAAACAATGCATGCTAAATCTCTTGGTAAACTCTAAAGTGCTCTGTAAAATTCTCAGTTAAGTAAAGTCTATCTTAGCATTAATTTGAAAACTTTGTTCCACATATTTGTTCTACTTCTGATATATCCTAGCAGTTTCTTAATTAAATCTAGTACATAATATAGTTTTTTTTGATCTGTGAGAATTTAGTAGTTGTTCAGTCAGACTTGGATGTTCTGACTAGAGAGGGTTAAGTCTCTCTGTGGCCAGGTGTGGCGGCACATACCTGTAATTCCACACTCAGGAGACTAGGGCAGGAGCACTATTGTGAGTTCAAGACCAGCCTGAGCTACATAGTCAGACTTTGCCTCAAGCATCCCCATCCCTAAATCTCACTGTAGAGGGCTGATTGTTGAAAGTTCAAAATGGAAGTAAGTCTACATCAAGGCCAAGTAAGAAAAGGACTGTCTTATGCTTCTATTTTATAGCACCCAAGCACAAATGTTTGAAAAATATTTCTTGCAATGAAATGTGGATCAAACACTTAATACAAGTTTGTTTCTTCTTGAGAATACAGGAAAACAAAAACTGTTTATGTTCATTAAGTTAATATTTTAATATTGATACAAAATACTTCCTAAATCAGAGGATGTCACATCTATATGAAATTAGTCATTATTTGTTCACCGTCACTGAAAAAAAGCCAATAAACTCATATATATTAACATTTTAATGAAAAATAATTCTTTCTCAACAAAATACTTGATGAGTGGCAGTAATTTTTAAAAATTTTTTTATTCAGAATTTTGGGGTTTTTATTTTTGGAGACAAGGTCTCACTCTGTAGTCCAGCCTGGCCTTGAACTCACTATGTAGCCCAGACTGATCTCAAACTCACAGATAATTCTCCTGCCTCAACCTCCTAATGCCAGGATTACAGCCCTGTACCATTATGCCTGGCTATTTTAAATTTTTGCGAAGTGTTTTTCATAACTTAGAAACTCCAACACAACCCAAGAACCTAGAAGTCTGTATTTCATTAGCTGTCAGTATGTGGACAAGATCATACGTGAGAAAGCTACCAGAAGAGCTCACTGTACACTTATGAAAGAATGAAACTGAAAAGCATCAGTAACAGTGCTGTAACAAAAATATTTCAGTTCCCTAATCCCGAATAGCTACATTGCCACAAACACCAGTACTAAACTTTCAGTGAGGGCAGGGGACCTTTATTGTGTTGTGGAGGAAGGAAGAAGGGCAGTGTGCTTATGCGTGTGGGATGAGGGGAATAGAGAGGGCTAACTTCCTGTCATTCACAGAAGGGAAATCAACAGATACTATCAGAACTCATCCAAGAGTATTGAGAGTTGTGCCTCTGAGAGTAAAAACTGGGTGCTATGAAAACCATTTTTTGTTAAAAATATCATGTAGCTCATTGGCAGGACACTTGCCTAGCACATAGAGGCCCTGGGTTCAATATTCACTACTTAAAAAAAAGGAAAAAAAAGGAAAAGAAAAACCAAAGCACCCTCTAACACAACCTTGTAGAAAAACACCTCTTGCCTCTGTACAGCCTACAATATTGTTGGTAAATCGAGATAACTTGGCGGGGGGGGGGGGGCACGTTGAACCCAGGGCCTGTGCAATGAGTTACATCTCTTTTACTTTTTTCTTTTGAAGTAGTCTAAGTCGCTAAATTGCCCAGGTTAGGCTTAAACTTGTGATCCTCCTGCTTTAGCCTCCCATAGTGCTAGGAATATCACTTTACATTGAAAAAAGAAAAGGTTAATTATTACTATAATTTTCAAAGTTTAGTAGAAATTATTTTCTTGTATAACTTTTGGTGCACTGAATCTAGTTTTAGGGTTTACACATATGTTATTACTCATCTAGAAACTCAACTGAATGTGAACACTACTGCATTTGAGTATGTAAGCCTGGGTGAGGAGAATATAAAAATTCCAATAAACGCAACTAAGACAGACCTCACAGGACTAAAGATCTGGATTAGGCTTTGAAGGAAGAAAGGCCAAAGACTGCTCAGTTACAAGCAAAAACTGCTGTTGACGCAGTGTTAGGTGGAGGCAAGAGGAATAAAATTTCCATGTTTTAAGAAGGGAGACCTGATGGTAATACCAGGACACTTTAAAAAGAAAAAGATCACTTATCTTTCCAAAGTTCTTTTACTGGGACAGGTTGACTGGTTATTTTATGTAAGCACTGTAATATTAGATACAGTCCTGAAGGTTTCCCTGGAGAGAGCTGAAATCAACACAGATGAACCCCAAAGGAAGAAGTAAAAGAAAACAGTAAGGGGTGATCAATGAAATTTTCAACTGACAGGTATAGTTTAAAGCTGTATTGTCTGTATTGTTCTTTTGCTAATTTATAAAAAAAAAAGCTGTTTAAAAAAACCCCCACAACAATAGAAAATAAGTCACCAAGACAAAATGGAATACAGCACAAGCAGGAGTCAACATGAAAAGCATGTGAAGCATTAGCCACAGCGCAGGCCAAGCACGGTGCGTGGAGTCCTCCCTTCTTGCCCTCATGGATGCTCAGCAAGCACTGACTGATGGACAGCGGAGATACCCTAACTCATCATTTCCCACACCTGCGTATGCATACCATCTGCCACCTCCTACAGGTTAGAATACTCTGACCCTTTATTAAACAATTCTGTCTTGTATGGGTTGTCTAAGATTGCCCATATTACCATACTGTCAGTGTGTGGTGTCAGTAGATACCACACATGAAATGTAATCCTCAATTATCTGCAAGTGGAATCACCACAAATTTTCAGTTCTCTGTACTGCACCTAGATATTCATTTGGAAGGAAAAGAAACTCACTTTATGTTAGCCTGAGAAAAACAATTAGGAAGAAAATCTGTTCCCAGGATTCCTATGATGCCCCCTAAAGCCTGAGAGAAAAGTGTAGCTAATTATTCTGCTTGTGATCGCCTGCCCTATTATTCTCATTAACAGAGGAATTAATTGGTGATTAAAACAAAGGAGCCTTGATATACTATTGTAAATGACTATCTCCATTATATACTAACTTCAGATCCATTTTTATTCTCTTAAGAATTTCCTTAAATCACCTAATACGGTCTTTTCTTTCTTTCTTTCCTCCCTTCCTCCCTCCCTTCCTTCCTTCCTTCTTTCCTTCCTTCCTTCCTTCCTTCCTTCCTTCCTCCCTCCCTCTCTCTTTCTTTCTTTCTTTCTTTTTGGTCTTTTTGAGACAGGGTCTCACTATGCAGTTCAGGTTAACCTTGAGCTCATGTTGTAGCCCAGGCTGGCCTCGAACTCCCAACAATCCTCCTGCCCTCAGTCTCCCGAGTGCTGGGATTACAGGCGTGCGCCACCACGCCCAGCTCTAATATGGTCTTATAAAATGTTAAAGACTTGGGCTGGGGATATAGCTCAGTGGCACAAGTGCCTGCTTCGCAAGCGCAAGGTTCAATTGCCGGTACCGAAAAATAAAATAAAATAAAATAAATGTTAAAGACCTTTTGAGGTGAACTAAAAGCTTAAATTTTTTTTTCCTAATCTCTGTTGGAAGTAAATATTAACCACTGGTTTTTCAGTACTATTATTACATAGAAAACATTGGGGCTGGGGATTTAGCTCAGCGGCACAGCGCCTGCCTGGCTAGTGTGAGGTCGTGAGTTCCATTCCCGGTACCGGAAAAAAAAAAAAAAAACAACAAAAAATTTGCATTGTACAGTGACATTTTCTATTGTTTACTCAGAACAGTGAAGTGTTTTAAGTGTTTTTTTTTTTTAAGTGTTTTAATGCATCAGACTAAAGCCCTCAGCATTCATGGTGAAAGGACGTATCTCTAAACTCACAGCACTTAAACTTAGTGGAGAGACAAGATCTTTCAGAAACAGCTCCACTCTAACTGCAGTGATGATGCAGTGGAGACTTAGAAAAGCTAGCGAGCGACATTCAGAGGAAAACCACAGGCTCCATAGAGGTACCAACGCTGGAGAGCTACACAGAAGGCATAGATGTTTTCTGGGAAGGGGAAAATGGAACTGTGCTGGCAGAGGGCTCAATGTTTGGGAAACTAAACAACTTGGTATTTGTTCCACTCAAGACTTCAGAGATAGGAACAGATAATCTGGAAAAACATCTATCAAACATCTTTCACTCCTAGTTTCATGCTGTCATCCTTTTAATATAGTACTTACTCCAACACTGCAAGAATTTATAACCCGTAGAGATTACCAGGGTGTTGTTAGTCCCCTTCCTAGTACTAAACAAACAGAGGTAATCTGTTTGCTCAAGGCAATCAATTCATGAAGCTAAAGGTTTCTTCTGGCTCATGTTTGGAGGTCCCAGCCAGTGACCCATGATTGGATGGACTGAGCACTGTTTTGCTGCTGGTGAGGGCTAGCATATCAAGTGGGGGTGTGTGTCACAACAAAGCTGTTCACCTTCTAGCGGAGAATGCAAAGGGGGCAGGGAAGGAGAGACCAGGACTCCCCATTCCCTTTAGCGCACACCCTCAAAGACCTGAGCTCTTCCTTTCCATTACTCCTGACAGCATCAAGCTGGGGACCAAGTCTTCAACATACAGGCCCAAACCATATCACAGGGTATGGAGATAATAACTGGTCTCTTATGAAATGATGATGAGGTTTTACTTTTTAATGCTTATTTGTTTTCCTTATGGAAAGCTGTCAACCTGGAGATTTGTAAAAATAGTTTCTTACATTTGACTGGTTGTAAAAGGAAAAACGTCAATGGGCAGACCAAAAACCCAGAATATCTAAAACTCTGCACTTCTAAATCCAGTTCATCTTAATCCCTCTAAAATACCCTTCTATAATTTTTCATTGCCTTTCTGTCTTTTTTTTTGTCACTAAGAATGTTCTTCTACCAGGGGCTGGGGATTTAGCTCAGCGGCAAAAGCGCCTGCCTGGCAAGCGCAAGGTCATGAGTTCGGTTCCCAGTACCAGAGAAAAACCAAAAAAAAAAAAAAAAAAAAAAAAAAAAAAAAAAAAAAAAGTTTTTCTACCTTAATTAACTGCTAAAACTCATCCCGATGAACCTCAACACTGTTTCATTTTATTTTGTTTTTGTCTTCTTGAGACAGGGTCTCACTATACAGTTCAGGCTGGCCTTGAGCTCACTTTGTAGCCCAGGCTGGTCTTGAACTTGCAACCATCCTCCTGCCTCAGCCTCCCAAGTGCTGGGATTACAGGCCTGCACAACCACGCCCAGCCCAACACTCTTGTATTTATCATCTCTACCTGTTTTTCTGGTGCTTTGTAAGTGTGCTCAAGGAAGTGAGACTGTACATTATGTCTTCCAGATGATGCTGTATAAGGTTACAGAACAAACTCCTTCACTTTGAGCGATTAGAATTACCAGGGAGACAGAAATGTCCCCAAGATATTACACTTTCTTATGTGTAATTAAGTACTAGTTATAAAGATCAACAGCCTTAAAAAAAGATGGTGGGGTAGGGGGAGAAAATTAACCAAAACTCAGCAATTATGTATTCTCTGTAAAACAGAAATACAGTGCAGTGGTTCTCTAGATGTGGTCTGAGGACCCCAGAGCTCCCAAGACCCTTGAGGGAAATCTGCAAGACCAACTCAGTCTCCAGTGTTACTTGACCTTTTCCCTTGTTCTTTCCCAAGAATCCAGTGCAGTTTTCTAGAGGCACAGGACAACAATATGATGGTATTACTGCGCTGACAACTGATGGAACATGTGCTGTGTACTCTTTACATTTTCTAGAATTTTCTAAGTTAAGTTCTTAAAAGTCTTGAACAATTTTTAAGAAGTGTACAGTTATCCTGAGACACCAAAATTTGGAAACTCCTCATATATGGTAAGAGATACGAAGCAGAGTGTGCCTACTTAATCAAAGTAATGCTTCCTCATTTTCCTTTGTATTTCCAACCAACCCATTCTGTAACCAAGAAATCTTCTAACATACAGTATTTGAAGAAAAGATGTAAAAGGAGCTATGAACAGGTAGCAGATGTTACTACCTAGAATGCTCCAGAAAAGTATCTTGGGACATTGCACGTTTTTATATATTTTGTCACTGACCAGAAAATATCATTCCAGATAGCAAGTAAGAAATTACTATTTGAGCTGTAGTACGGTTCATGAAGGCTATACTTTCAGGGATCATTTCTATAGTACGTACTACAGTTCATGTTCCGAACCACTAATGACTCCATGGTACTGAGATCCACTTGAATCACTGAGCAAAAGCTCTGACAGTAGCATCTTTTAACAGCCTTCTGGACTTACTTTTCAGCAGTAAAAATACTGTGCCCATGAGTCAAAGTCACAGGTTCAAATAACTCTGATCTGCTCCTTTGGAGCAGGACTTCACTTCTTACCCTTTGCCACTTGTTTCAAAGTCTCTCACGCACCTATCATAGGGTAGGTATTAATGCTGTATATTTATTTTGTGGTTAAGCAAGTCAAAGTACATGATTTGTTATTTTAAAAGTTGCAGTTAGCCAAATAATTTTAAATACACACACTGCAGGAATTAAATATTTTAAATTATCTCTGTGCAACCAGAATTTCCAGGCTCTGGGTGCATTTTTGTAGTTAATATTTAATGGCAGAAGAAGATCCAATTTAATACGGCATTTACAGTCCTTTAGAAACCAATAGACTGGAACATCAAATTTCAATTATTTATGGTAACAAGAGGCAAAGTCTATTATCAACTAACCTGCACAAATAATTGAAAAATGTTACTGTAGGAATTTCAACTTAAGAGTATATTTTTAAAAGAAAATACAGCCAGGTGTGGTGAAACACGCCTGTAATCCCAGCACTTAGGAGGCTGAGGCAGGAGGATCATTGCCCAGTTGAGGCCAGCCTGGGCTACATAAGTTGAGTTCAAGGTCAGCCTGAACTGCATAGCGAGACCCTGTCTCAAAAAGACAAACAACAAAAACAGAACAGCCAGTACACAAATTGTGTACCTGTCTTCTAAATTATATGCTAATAGCAGTTATGATTAAAGTATTATGGGATAATTAAGTAAACTGGGAAGGAACAAAAACACCCAAATAATGAATAAACAAACTCATCACCAAACGAACTCATCACCAAACAGTTGACCTTTAGTTTTACGAAAACTAACTGTATTCTTACTATTATTCTTAATATAATATTAAGGCATATCCAGTCTTTATTCTCCAAATTTTAAAAAGGAACCAGAAAAGAACTGTTATATACCAGATATCAACATATATACTTAAGTTTCTTGATAGTTGGCAAACAATTCTTTAGATGTAAATGGCTACTTAAAATGAAAGTGTGTGCAAAAAGCACCCAACCCGGTACCTGTGTCTTGACTGCCAAATCCATAAAAACATAATTAAATTAATGGTGACACCTAGTGGCAAAAAAAAAAAAAACCATCTTTCTTTTATGTTACCCTAACTGTAACTTCTGAACCAAAGCAACGAATCCAAAATCAAACACTTCGGAATTCTCATTCTCACAAAGGATTATTCATTTAAACTACTTAAGAATTATCCAGTAACCTTAAATAAACCAGTAAGTGAAGCTATCCCCGTGACACACAGAAAAAATAAAAAATGAAACCCCCCAAATCCCACAATGTATTTGCAGATATACAACTGGCTGCAGAATCTTTTTCCCTGGGTGTGGGGGTAAAAGTTGGTACCAAATGGACCCCTTAATAATAATCTGTGCTTGGTATTATAAATCTATACCTTAAAGGGCCAGAGAGGGTAAGTGCTTAAAAATGAAGTGTGCAGCTGAATACCTCACTTGAAAGGGATGGCATTCAGTAATAAATTGTGGGATGTGTTTTAACTTTTCTCCCTTTAAAAATGATTTGACTTTAACGAGTAGCAAACAAAAACTAGTTTTCCTCAACACTCATAACACACAACTGTAACTACTCCAAGTTTTACACAGGCATTGTCTGGCTCAACGGCTCAATTCAATCTAATGTTCTGCCTAGTTTCCAGACACCATGCAAGATGGCTTGAATTATGATGAAACATCATTCTTTACAAAAATTTGAAGGAATATTTAACAGTATACACAAAATTCTAGGATGAAATGTTTCGAAAATTAGGGACAATCAGTTTTGAATATTTACTGTCAACTGCAATTTCCCATCCTGAAGAAGGGCATGGCTGAACTGCTGTGTTGACTAGAAACAAACTGGCCCTCAAGTCTAATATTTAAAAGCTTTCTTTTCAAAATATTTCCCTTAGAAACGCAATGATAATCTATTTTAAACAGGTTTCCGCCTGAAACACGGCACAGGGATTCTGAAGACGCCGCCGCCCAGCCCCGTCGGAAACGCGTCTTTGTGCTCCTGAAAACCACCCCAGGCAGATGCAGCCGCGGCGGGGGCCCGGCTGCCGCCGCTTCAAAATGTCCACCTCCTCCGATCTCCCGACACTACGGGACGAACTCGCGACGGGAAGCGACGCACCGCACTGGCTAAGCCGTGCAAGCCCGCAGGGGGAGCGCCCCGCGGAGGCGGCGAGTTCCGCTCGCAAACCACTTCCTAACCGGCTCGGCCCGCACGGCCGCGGCTCAAGGCGGACGCGGACACCCGGCGCCGGCGGTGGGCGCGGGGCGCA